CAAGCAGATCTTGACATCAAATTTTTGGGTAAAAAAGTGTGTCTTATACACAGAAAAATACGGTAAGAAAGTAACAACAATTAACATGGTAAAAATAACATGTACTGTATATACTCAAATAGTTTATATTGGGTATAGGAGGTTGCAACTAAACACATGTTTAAAAAGAGGAAGAAAAGTGCCATATAAAAAACTTTCATACCAATGGCCTAAGTAACAAAATTCTTGGTAATAGGATATAATAATAAAAGAACACAATATTGCGTTTAACAGTGAGAGAAAATCAAGAGTAAATAAAATAAACTGTCAGAAGTCTTGATATTGGATAATCTCCAATATTGATACTTCTGACAGTTTGTTCCATTTACTGTGGTTTTTAACTAAAAAATATAATTTTCATGGTAGTACAGATCTTTTCTTTCAATTACAATTTCCAGTGTTTAACTAAATTTCCACCTTTGAGTTCCTTCAGTGCTCATGTCATTTTGCATAATGTCACAACACTCCTTTACAATTGCTGAACATGTAGATAAATTATCTATTGTATTTTAACTTTGTACACATAACTAAAAATAAGTAACATAATTCTTTCTTCCTCTAGAAAATCAATGTTAGTTTAGCTTATTTTGTTTTCTAAGCCTCCCTGAAATTTATCAAAGAAATTAGTGTAATTTCTTCTAATTTCAAATTTATTTCAATTGTTTTAGATTTAAAACCACCTGAAAAAAGAAAATAATTTCTATAATAATCACTCTCTCTCTCAAAACTTCTCTTAGGCAAGTTATCTCCAGAAGGACTATGTATGACAAATCTCTATCTCTTGAATCTAACAATGGTTAGAACATGATCCAAAGCTTTCAACATACTTTTGAAGTACAGATAAAGACTGATTTTATTGTTAAGAAATAAGAAAAATCTAAATTAATTATTGCATTTTATTATTTCTATTTTTCAACTTTTATATTTTTAATGCTAAGCCCAATTTGACAATTTCTTTTTTCTCATCAGTTTTGAAGTGTGCTATCTTAAACAATTTCAAAACTTACCTTGAATCCTGACACAATAAGCACTTTCAACCCAGTGTGAAAATTTTATATTTTTTTGATTGATTTCTATTAATTCAAGCAACGTATTATAAAAATGAAAGAACACAAATTATTCTCCTCCAAGTTAGCTGACCACTGTATACCAGGTATTCAAACTCTACCTCACTTTGTATATTTCTTGATATTTGATCTATATTTATTATCACAATATGACAATAACATATTCTATCACCATTCTTATGGCTGTGCAATAAATTACCAAGGTAAAATGGAGGACCCACATAAATATTAATTGTCACTAGAACCAAGATGAGCAACATGACTTACCAAATATCTTTTCAGTTAAAAATAAATTATTGTAATAACTACTAAATATTTTTTAATGCATCACCTGTTTTAAGATAACTGGTTAATGCCTGACCATCCAACAAAAATCAATCAAACCATGCATAAATGAAACAACTAATAATTCATAATTTTACTGAAACCAGTTGTCAGGAATGCTGAAATTCAATTACTATAAAATGTTGGATAATTATTAGTAAAGTCGTAAGCAATGAATTAAAGAGCAAGGTTGTTTACTGACTTGAAGAAAAACCTCTATATAAAACGAGCCATGATAGATGGTGATTATAATATTCATACAGACAAAAAAGAACAAAACACACTTAGAATTGAAAAAATAAACTTTAAAATAAAATATAAAACCTTTACCTTGATAATGATGGTATAAGTTCCAAGCTGCTATCTGTCATCTTCAAATTGCTATTCTGTCCCATAATAAACAGAGAAATATATAAATAATAAAGTTTATATAGACTGTGAATGTGAATGAAGAACTTTTTTTAACAAAGCAGCTGTTTAACCCCTTCCATGAGTTGCCCGAGATAATTCAGGCACCCTCCATGTTTCAGAAAATATCTGCCCAATTCAATTTGGGCAAACCATTTTTTGCTGTATCTTTAATTGTTTGCTCACATTTATTTGCATGTTATCAAGTATTACAATCAGTGCTCGCTAGATGGCATAGGAAATGCTGTTTGAGCTGATCTCTTTTGGATTGATTCTGAATTATGTATCATAAACACTGAAAAACAGCATTCCTATTTTTTATTGTAGTTTCATCAAAATAATATGTATCACCTATAAATTCAGATACGTATAATTTATTTATCAAGTAAATTATGTGCAGAAATATAATAACAGGTCATAAAAGAACTTTCATTTCATTAATATATAAATATAGGCTATTGAAAAGCAAAATAAAGAGACTGATTTACTTTGAGATTATTTCAAAAAAAAAGCCCGACATGGAAAGAGTTAAGGAAAACCAGTTTTCAAAACAGTTTTTGCAATCCATACTATTTATACCATTAAAAATCTAATAAAAATTATGGTAAAAATAATAATGATAAAAACTAAGGAGAGAGAGAAAAATCAAAGAAAAACATATCACAAAAAAATGTAATAATCATTAAATCAAATATTAAGATTTTTAAAATCAACAAAACTAAAAATAACTGTTAACTACTAGATTTATTTAAATGGCTATTGGAATTATTAAATGATCAAGGTTTTCAGATGTTTTTTCAGGATTCCTAGCTTCCTAGAATGAAACTAATAAATCTTAAAAGAAAAGTTGGTGACATGGAAACTTAAGGCAAATAACAGTTTAATACATGGTTGACCAAGTACAATACACAAACTATGGCAATTGTGAGTGACTTAAACTAATCCACACATGCAACCTTTAAACACATTTAAAGTTTGTGGGACCTCCTCTATCAGTCATAAGCCAAAAATATAACATCTGAATAAAAATAAACTACATATGAAACATACCAAAATTGTAACAGTGACTACCTAGCTTTAGACTTCCACACACTCTACTAATGATTTTAAAAAAGTGTGGTATACAAAAATTAACAAACAAGGTTTGTGTTTTGCTTTGCCAACATTAATGCACCTGTACTTGTTGTCATCTATCCACGATCTCTAGGGTATTGCACATGACCCATGGACCACTCATCATTGAACTAGTAGGGTTATAATACTAGCAGGCTCTAAAGGATGGACACGAGTTATGTTTAATAAACTGAAAATTTTTTTCTTAGCTTCTTTTATTCATTCTGTTATAGATTTCATATCATAAGTGTGTGAATAGCATTTGAGATCTATCTTTTATTTGCCAAAATTAGTGCTCAGTAAGCCTTTATTTTACATACCTTGTAAGCAAAGTTGGACATCTGATAGAATTCTACCTAAAGAGTTATTTGCATACAGAGCTAAATATTTGAGTACATAAGCTGACAAAGTGCAAAATATTTTTAAGCCTTAGGAATACCGATAGCCATAGGCTTTTCCAACATATTTAGGTAAACTATTTATGCATCAAATTTCATTATAACTTTGCTGGTTACAGGGTGCCTAATAACATACGTATCACACAAAAAATTTAAATAAAAAAAAACATTCAAATTTAATAAAAAATTCCGAATACACAAACTACTTCTGGAATTCCCTACGTATCTTACTTGGAAAGTGAGTGATTTCACCTAATTTTTGGTCAGTTATTTACACTGAGTATTGAAGTAAGTAGAATAAAATAAGTTACTCAGTCAGTTGTAATATGTAGGTGGAGTGGTAGTAAATGGTATAAAAACAAGTTGGTAATCTAATGGTAACTACATCTCAAACCAATAAATTGTATTTACTACCTTTACCACATTTTGATTAAAAAAACAAAACAAATCCAATAGAGATTTTGGTATCCTTTGACCACAAAAATAGAGCTATGTATCAAACTCAAAAATATTTGATGAGAATACTATCAAAAGTTAATTAATCAAAAACAAATATATATCACCAACTTAGCTAAGAATAAAATTTAATACCTTTAACCAGCATGTTAGTTTATTAGCATTATTTCAACAAATTTCATAAATATTTTTATTTCTTTTTATTAACACAATACTTTAAGAAGATTAATTTTTATTATGTTTACAGCTTTATGAACCCTTTTACATACCACAAGAGGTATGATATAGGATGCTTGAGCTGGTGATAAGAAAAAAATGAAACAAGATAATTTTGCATTTCCTTATTAATCAACACACTCTTGAGAAAAAGTAGTATAAAAGTCTAATACCAAAAGAGAGGAGTTAGAGTAATATGGCAGGCTGATATTTATCACTATTTAACAAAAAGCTTTTGTTGACAAAGGGATACATTCTGTAAAAAAATTATTAGAAAAAAAAAGATACAATCAATCTACACTTAAAAAAACATTCCATTTTACCGAGTTAATTACTTTCCACAACTTTTGAGTCAGGTTTTTTTTTTCATACCTGAATGACAGTGTAAATATATCCATTTTTTTCAAAAGACTTCAAGATGACATCAAAAATACTGCTTTTATTGAACAGGTTTTGGAACTATGAAAAGAAATACAAAAATGTTTATTCTATTTGTACCTTATGTGTACAGTTTGGATCTAAATATTATTAAGTTGCAAGATTTTATTCTACTTAAATTAAGTGGTTTTGTATTTAATCTTCCATCAAAAATTATTTCAAAAAATCAAGTACTTTGTTGATCATGCTTAAGTAACTACGATAGGGATACAGCAATGCAGCTACAAATGTGCATAAATATTGCCCAAAATGAGCGTTACGTGGCAAAAAAGTTATGAAGATAGATTTGATTTTAATAAGCTATATGAGAGCCATCTGTGCTAGCCATCCATAATTTAGCAGTGAAAGACTAGAGGGAAGGCAGATAGTCATCACCACCCACCACCAATTCTTGGGCTACTCCTTTACAAACAAATAGTGGGATTGACCATCACATTATAATGCCCCCATGGGTTCTGAAGAGATTTCATACTGTCTATTAAATTCTTTACCGAAACACAAATTCTCAAAAAAAAATCCTAATTTCAACAGAACCAAAGTTACAGCATAATCATTTAGCAAACATAATTTGCTTCAGTTTTTTTAGTTTCTTTTTTAACTTTAAACATGTGTATTTATAGTTTTGACTAGTTTATAAGTCCAAAAATAAGACGTTTTTGTTTTTAATTCTATATATAGTCTGATTTCTTGACTAAAAATGTTGTATTTTTTCTCAGAAAAACTTTAAAAAAACATGATAATCCACATAAAGAGTAAAGTGACTTGAAATTCTATATATCCAATGACATTTGAATTTTTCAAAGAACCTGTCCTTAATATACATTTAACACTCTTAAAAACTATGATTCAAACTATTCAATTATCAAAAACAAACTACATGTTAAAATCTTTCCTGCATCAAATAATTTAAAAAAAAACAACAAAGATTTCTTCTCTGAACTTTAATGAAAGTAAGCTGATTGTACCATTACCTTGATTCTAGTTAAGTCCTTTAAATTCTCATACAGATCTGGAGGGGGAAAAAATTTAACCCAATTAGTCTTGTTTAATACTTTAATATCTTTGAAAATAAATAAGTCACTAAAGTATTCAGTTTATTTTATATTATAGTCTTTTTCAATTAAATTTATAAATAAATATAAAAAATTGAGCATCATCAATTTAAATTATGAGAAAAAATTACACAAAATTTTATTATCTTATGTAAATGAGTTTCTGGTTGGTAATTATCTTTGATTTATAAAATATACATCATAAATACATAAATAACCATAAATATATATCATAAATAATGTGTTAAATATTTAGGTATATTTTTTAATTTCAGTGATATTCTAATTAATAAATTATGCTTCCCTAAAGTAAAATACCTGTCTACTACACCTTAACAAGTACCTAGATAAACAAGAACTTGAACTAATACACAGATTATTTTTGTCTCGCAATAATGTGATTACAGCTTTATAACTTTTATACACATAGAGAAATACAATTCAATAAATGCACCTTTATGGAAAAAGCAATAACAAAATTTGCTGAAATAATAAAACACAAAATTACTTGTCATCATTACATCTCTCTTCTAATCTGCTGATTGCCTTATATGTTTAAAGTGATAAAAGGTATTTGGATACTTTCAAGTTAACCAGTTTATTGCAATAAATGGCTATGTCACAACTTATGTTATACATCTGATATTTACCAAAAACTTAGTAATGATCACAGCAATATACTAAGTAGACATAGTAATGTAACTTAAAAAAAAAAAAATTAACAGCTTATATGGCATAAATTTCAAGTTATAATATATGTCTTACTTCCAATAAACTCAAAGTTTCTGCCATTTTTAATTTACAATATTGAGTAGTTGTATAGATATACAGTACTGTGTAAAATTGTTAGGACAAGCAAATATTTTGTCATTCTTTCCATTTTAAGGGGCTAATTTTTCTATGCCATTACAAAATGTAAATTTCAAAACTATGGTAATGCTTCACTGATCACTATTGACAACTGAATGAGCCATGGTGAGAATACTTATCATTCTTTAGAATTCCAATATACTTGTACCAAAGGCATGTCATAATGGTTCTGCTTGAATGAACATAGTGATCAAATTTAGGGTCTGAAATAACTGTCATGGTACTCCATGCAGTGTCTTAACTATATAGAAAGAAGCTAGCAAGGAGCTAGCATATGGTAGTTATATATACTTTGATTGGATCCCAACCTGTAGCTAAAGAGTGATGCATTTCACACCATCAGAATTATGATAAGAAAGTGAAATGGACAAAATTTCTCCTCCACCTGAAGAAGTCCAAAAGGAAACACTCCAGGTTCATAATGATGGGATCGTTTATGATGTACTCAACCAAAGGAACAGAACTCATCAGGTCTGAAATTATGAACATTCATGCTCACTCCCCAACCAAGTAGGCAAGGGGTATTCCACTTGCCCCTGGAATTATGGAACCTGTGCTCAACCAATAACCTTGGATGGGATCACTTCGTGTTTGGAACTATGAGGAGATAGTGGACATCCTTCCATGAACAATATATGAAACCAACATTGATCAAAGAGAAGGGCCATGCACCCCCAATCTGGATAGCTTCGTGTCAAATCTGAACCGGAATTATGAGTAGGATCCCGCTGACATCTGGGAAAAACTGGAGGGAAAAGCCTCTGCCCGACACCCCAGCTTGCTCTGGAAACTGTGCAGTAGGTGAACATGTGACATGCAAAAGATTCCTCTCCTGTAAAAATAATCCATTATAGGCCATGTGAATCAATTTACAAAGCCATCATGTTAAGGTAATGGGAGATAAGTCATGGGAAAAAAAGAGGGATTTCAATGAATGAACAATCATTCCTACTACCTCAAAATGAGTTAGTACAAGCTACATAACACTTGAGAGCCCTAACAGTACATAACAAATGGTCAGGATTGGAGGTGAAAAATGGCTGGCAAATGGATTGGTGAGAAGGATCTTTCCCCTTCCCTAACCGTCAAGTCTTGGGAAGAAAAGACCAATTTGGGTAAAGCCAGACAAATGTGGAAGGATAAAGAGTCAGAACCACAACTCCATCCGATGATGTCCATGAGCCAACAACAAAGGTGAAACAAAGAACACGAAGCTAAGGGCTCAAAGGTAGGATGAGACAATGTATGTAAAACAACTGAAAAATCCCAATTTGATTACTGACAAGGTCATTTGGCTTGCAGAATATGAAGGGTTTTGAGTAGACCTGATAGTACTGAGGATTCAAAAATCTTTCGATATTTGAAATACCAAAAAGTAGTGGATAAGGGTACCTTATATAAAACCACTGTAAGCAAAGCAAGACTTCTCTCAAATACTGAAGTCATAAAATGGAAATATGGTAGATACTTTAGGATGAAGTAGGTTGAAATTCCTTTTAATACACCACTTACAATAAGTATTCCATTTTCGTGGTTGGCCTACAGAGATATTTAGTTAAATACAGAGAAACCTTAGAAGTTAAACCATTATGTTGGGCAAAGGACCGCATAACTTCCAAGCATGAAAACTGAGTTTCCGAACATCTGGGTGGAGAATGTATGATCAAGGTTGTCTCAGAGACTGCCAATGTGGTAGATGTAGAGGAAGACATACCTGCAGATACCGAAAAAGCAGAAACCCTATTATACTGTCCAATATGGTGCAACCAAGATAACTTGACAGGGAGTGGAGTAAACCATAGTCAGAACCCAGGGCAATACCTTAATCAGGGGAAAGGCATTCATATGTAAACCTGTCCAGTTCTGACTGAACACATCTACTACAAATGCTAGAGGATGAGGCATTGGAGACTTAAACTGAGAGCAAATCCACTGAACAACCTCGTGGCATAGCATCCATTCCATCGGAAGAATCTAGTTGGATCGAAACAAGTGATCTGTAGTTAAATTCATCACTCGTTGAACACAACATGCTAAAAGACTGATAGGATGGGAATGAGCCCAGTAGAGAAGATCCAAGGTACAAAAACAAGGTCTGGAGAATGTTTGCCTCCTTGACAAGAAGTCTGAGATATCACCGTGGAATTGTTGGAATGAATCATGACAATTCTTCCCTTCAAGAGAGACAGACCTTGAATCATTGCCTGGTGTAATGCAAGAAGTTATAGAATGTTGATATGGAGGGTAGACTCATCTTCTGTCCAAATACCCTGGAACTCCTGACCTTGATGATAAGTTCCCCATCCCTGAAGAGATGCGTCTGTGAACAGATGGATCTCAAGACAAGGTGGTGTAATGGGTACCTCATATGTGCTTGTCACAAAGGGATGAGAGGCTTGAGGGATGCCCACATCCCCAAAAGAGAGAGAACCATCTGTGCAGTAGGAGAAGGAGACTGGCGGCTCTTTCCATGGTTTGAAACCTGATAGGGGTTGGTTAAGCATGACTTAAATGAGTATTTAAAAACACACCCAGATAGATGAGATATTCCACTGGTGACAAAATAGACTTCTCCAGTCTGATATGGAAGCCTGCTTTTGTGTTTACAGGTCCAAGGAATGCAGATAATAATAAAAAAAAGCTTGAACATCTCTGCTGATGACATATTTTCTCCACCCTAGTGGTTGGGAACTGATAAGTGGCAAGGATTTCCTATGCTCTAATTGAAGAAGGGGAGGAGAATTAGCATTCAGGAGGCCAAAGGAAGTCCCCAGATCTCCACCAAATGCCTCCCAGAAAGGTATTTTACTGGAGACAGTGCAATGAGTGACAGTGAAAACCTACTTTTAACAGCCAGTAAGTCATAGAAATGAGCAGTTACTTCTCTGGTGCTGGCTTTTTCCAAGAAATAGTATGGTCTGGATTGGGCAAATGGGTAAATTTAATACCACAAGGATACCTTTAGTGGTCTTGTGGAACACCCCATTGCAACAGTGGGCACCAGTACAGCCAGGGTAGGTGGGATGAGTACTTTCCATTATCCCTGGCTTGGTACAGATTTGGGGAAATAAGTATAACCTGAGAGACAACACCAATCACCTGATGGGATCCTAAAAAAGGAAAAGTGTAATGAAAAACAGAAATGACTTACCCATCTCAAAGTCAGCATGTAGTTTTATTGAAAAACAGGGACTTGAGTGAATTGAAATCCCTCAGCAGATGAAACATCCACATGAGAAAATAATGAGAGACAAATGTGTGTCAAGTCATCCACATGCCAACTTGAAGAATCTCATCCAATAATCAGTGAAAATGAGAGAAAATTGACGAATCTGATGCTATGAAATGTGAAAGAACAATCACTTTCCTAAGGTCTTAAGAAAGGCCCAGTCTGGATAGGGGAAAGAAAGTGCTGTAAGTATTGATGGCATATACATTCTAACAACAATGACCACAGGTGAGAAGGAAAAGAAAATATGTCTTCATAGAAATATGGTATAGTGAAAATGTAGCCAACAGCTCAAACTAAGCACATGTAAAACCACATTAAAGTCACATTCAGGCATGGGTGTAGAACAAGGGTATCAGTTAAAAAGGAAGGATCAGAACAAAGTGAAAAGGACAGGAAAAAAAAAACCTGACATTAACATTAAAGGTTAAATGTAGTTGATAAAGCTGCCCAATAACCATTAATAGTGGAAACTAATAATACATAACTGAACAACCATGTGAAAAAGGCTGAAAGGTGGGCAACAGTAGGATAGGCCAGAAGAAGGGAGAGGCTGATGGACCAATGTCGAAAAACCTACCACTTCTGTTAATAGACGAACAGAATTGAGTGATGACAGGAATGGGATAAAAAATGGCTACAAGATCGGAGAGTCCAGCCCTGCGGCAATGAACTGGACAAGTCACACACATGAAGATGAAGGGACAACACCCATCACTGAAAGAGTGATGTGGTTGGAGAAGGAGATAGTAGTAATGAAGCAGTGAAACAAAGGACCAGGACACCAAGTGATGGAGAAGGGGGAAATCATGGTTGTTCTGGTCAACAGGACCTGACAAGGAGTGTAGCATCTCAAAG